TTTACACTATAAATAAATATATTGGTTCAGTCAAAACACTTTGCCAGTCACACGTGCTATTAATGTAGAGCAAACTGACTAGCTATGTCAAAATTCCTCAGGTTGTAGATAAAAAAAGGATAATTCTCAGGTAACAAAAACAATTAATATATTCTGGTGATTATAAACTACTTACTAATGAAAACATATCTATGAATATTATATCCCATTTCCACCAATAGATCCTGCTAAATGTTGCACACTGGACCTTTAACTAGATTTAAAAACACTGCTATACTGCCTTTATAAGGCTATTATATTGCAACTTGCTGGAGGCTAATGGCCTGTGTTGGTATTAGATCTGTGTTAGACCTTGCCTCTAGTTAGAAAAACACCTTTTTCCAACTCCACACTCTCAGACTGCTTTCTGTTTGTGATACCCAGGTTATGTCACATGAGTATTTCCTTCCTCCTCCAGAGCCACAGAAGATATTAAAAACTGTCATTTAGAACTGATTTCTCCTTATGGTCATGACATAAAGTATTATACATCACTTTCTTGGCTACATTTCAAAATGTAAGAAACCACTTTTCTACACTCCATGGCTTTAAAAATGATTTTACCTCAACTGATTCTCCCAGTTTCTTATTGAGTTTGGCCTCTGAAATGAGAACAAATGTGAGTGTCATTTAATCCCTTTATTCTTGGATTTTTTTTTTTAATTCTTATTTTCAGCCACTGAGTCATGATTCCCCAGTTTCTGTGAGCATGATGCTTCATACTGGCAAATGTTAGAAAAGCTCCAGAAAAGAAAAATGGTTTTCTAAGTAGAGCAGCCTTCTCACCCTTTCTCTTCATGTCATGGACGCTGTCGTGCTCAGCGTGTGATTGGCCGTGTCTGTGCTCCTCATCAGGGCTCGATGTTTCTGGGCTGGCCAACTCAGCGTTCTATTGATTAGGCCTTTGGCAACCCGGCCAGATTTATTCTCTTATTAGGGGCTCCTAATGCCTGATCAGGACAGATTAAAGGTCTGCCGCTGCCTCCAGCTACACTATCATTTAGATCCTTTCATTAGGATTGGGTGGCTGTATCAATATAATTATCCTAAGAACTAAGCACTGGAATTGTACAAAAGGCAGAACTAATGCAGATTCTTAGCAAATTGGAAAATAAAATAAAATACATTATTGACTTATGTAATATAAGATGACTAATAGAAGATAACTAAATATGTCTTAATTTCAAACAAAGTAGAATTATTTATTTCCCCTCTCATAGCAGAGCCACAATTACATCTTCTAAATTAGATTTCTGACCAGTACGATCGATAAAAACCCTCACCAGTCACTTCTGATTGATTACCCAGCACATTTTAAATAATTTTTTTAATCAATCATTCATGCACTGATTGATTGCATCCAACCGCAGTAGTCTCCAATGTTCGTCTGTGGGTTTCTCGATGAACGATTTTTTTATCTCTTTCTACTGAAAATAAGTAATCATTTCATCATTTATTCCATGCTTAACTCTAATTATAATCCCTAATTCTTGCCTGCAGGCTGCTCATTATGTCTGGGGACGACACAGGACAAAGCAGAAACAGATTTTAACACCCAGGTGTGCAGTAAAGTCTGTTTAATCCTCTTAACTTCACTTAGGGAGGCTGAACCTCTGAGGACATGGTTAAATGTCTTTTCTGTCTTTTATCATTTGCCATCGGGACAATTTCTCCAAGGATCAGATTTTGCTCGTACTGTGATCCAGTGAACCAAACCGCATCCAGAGGTGCTCTGATTGATTTCGAATTGATGTGGGCTCGGACCGGACACCTTCACCTCGACCCCCCCCCCATCCCAGATCCCGCGGGAGCATGTTGAGCACAAAGCAAACAGAGCGTCACACACACAGAAACCCCTGATCACACCGAGGCACATTATCTACTGCGGTTGCTTGGCAACCAAACGGAGACACACATATACACAACATAATGGTTCATTTGTATCCAGCTGTGTCAGCAATGGGTAGCCAAAACTGAAGAGCTATTTCTCTAGCTTTAGTTTCTGAAGAAAAACTCTGGAACAAAATGCTTGGATTTTAGATACATGACACACTGTAAACACTAAAATATTGATATATTTCTTTAAGCTCATTATCTGCTCAGATAATCTTATTTTAAATAATAATATAAAACAACCAGAATGCAAAGCAAAATGCTAAGCACTGCTTTTTTATGCACAAGGTGCATCGCATGGCACTGAAGCAGCTGGTGTCTTTCTATATGAACATAGTGGAATTCAAGTGTTCTTCTCCAGCCGTGCCTCTGATCTCAGCATTACATTCAAAGAACGCCTCCTTTCATCTTCCAGCACACATGAATTCTTCCACTGTGTAGGTATTGCAGGGGAGCATTAAATCCAATCACAGCTCCAAACACAATCTTCCCACTTATGTGGCGCGTGAAAGACATCTCTCAACTGGTAATGTGCTGGCTATGGCTTGAACAGAAGAAAAAATGTGTGTGTGAGTGTTGGCTTGAAATGCATGAAGTGTAATTTCAAATTCTAATGTTCATTTACGAAGGAATTCAAAGAAAATTAGGTCATTTATCCATATCTACACTATCCTTCTCTTCATTTTGATTCGCCTGTTTTTCCCATCAGACCTCAAACACTCGTGTTCACTGCCTCTCTGCAATCTTTGTTCTGCTCCTCATTCAATATGCACCTTTAGACATTTGTTTATTGACTTTCTGAAATAGCCATTACAGCACAACCCCAATCTGGACCTTACAGCACAAAGGCAGGATAATGTCTCTCCGCTCATAAATTTAACAAACCAAAAGAAGAATGAACTGGGAAGAAACAGGTGCATTGCTAACATGGTATGACTCTTCTTTTTTAGGCATCGAAGAGTAACTCAGGGAAATTTTACAAGTGGATTAATAAACTACTTTTACATCATTGTACTGCTGCTTTCATCTAAGTAAAAATCAAATGCTTCAGCCAGCAGTGGGAGTTAGTAGTGAACTAATCAACATGATCTGCACTGATGGAGCTTTGCAAGCTTCTGTGAGGAACCTTATGAAGTGGTGGCTCTTGTGGAAGCCCCTTGTTGTACTTTTATTCTGCATTCAGAGGTGTGAACAGACTCTAAGGAGCAAGGGGACCAATCTACACAATAACATGAGAATCTACTAAGCAAGTCAGGTGTCCCATCAGCACCTTGTTAAACGAGCACTTCAGGCACAAAGATAAGCAGATCAACATTTCACAATTGTCTGATAATCTCTAACCACAATAAATGTGTCAGTTAATGATTCCTGTCTCTTTGAGAAAATAAAGAAATTGGGAAAAAAATGGATACAGGAGGTTACCATTAAGTGGAGGAACTGAAAGTTTTCATGAACAACAAACTAAACACGTGAAAGTTGCACTATATAATATCTTGCATTCAACAAGAGCAAAACAGGCACCAGCTTAAAGACATATCATTATTTTTCCACTTCCAACTTTATGCTGACAGCCTTCTCATAATAAGCAGAGAAGGAGCACCATACCGCCTACCAGACAAAGCTTCAGTGCTGCCTAACTTGAAATCCCAGCAGTAATTACTCAGAACTATTGACCTGACCATTGCCCTGTCATTGACTCCTTTCTGATAATAAGAAACACAGGCCATTACATGTCTCCAAAGCCCCAGAGTCTGACAGCTTCCCTGCCAGGCAGCCACTCTTGTCCAAGTCCCCAAAATACAACTTTCAACTCTTTCAGCACCTGTCACAAACCTCTGTGGTCCACTTAGCTAATAACTGTAGTCATGTACTTATTTCTGAAACACATATGAAACATGCATGTATAGTATTTTCCATTTGTCATGCAGGCGTTGAGCTGTTAGGGCTTTGAGTAGGGCTAGGTAATATGGTGTCAGACAAGATTTTCTGAAATTCCTAGGCTGGGTTGCACCAATGAGGGCTCCTTTTTAAACCAGATCAAATTATGATTTAACTTTAAATTATGTTGCACCAAACTTTAAATCTATCCTAAAATTAAGAAAGATTAAATTTAAACCTCCCTTTAAACGTCAGTTTAGTTATATAACCTAGATTCAACTAACCTAGATTCAACTTCATGCTGTTGCATCAAGTCCAACTCCAATTTAAAATGTGATCCAGTATTAACGTTAAACTTACACTTGGGGAGGTTTAACTCTTAAAATGGCTGCCTTTTTGAGATAGAGTGAGCAAAAAAAGTCCCTCAACTAAAGTTAAGGGGCAGACTAAACTCAACTGAGTTTTATAATGCTGCTGAATTTCTCTCAAGATACCGGTTCAGCAAGGAAACTGTTATGGAGCTCAACGGGAAGATTGGACCAACTGTCAAACATGGCTGTGAAAGAAATGCCACTGTACCGCCAATGCTCCAACTCCTGGTGGAGACTTTATGCCACTGGATGTTTCTCGAGGGTGGATGAGGACCTGTTTGCTTAAACTCTATTTAAAATAAGTTTTTACATCAATAAACTTCACTAAACAGAGATTGGTTTCTGAATTGTGCAACAAAGCTCTGCTTAATTGTAAATCAGGATTTACTCATTTAAATGTAGTTTTGTTAAACTCTGATTTAACTGATTTAAGATTAAATTTGTCTTTGTTGGTACAACCCCACTGGGAAAACCATTTCTTTTTGGACCTGGCTTTGTGTAGGGGAAACAGTAAAGGACTTTCCACAAACTGTTGGGAGCAAAGTTGAACAGCCCAAAATATTTGAACAGTCGAGCAAAAGCAAGGACAGAAATTAGAAGGCCAAAGCAACAAATATTCAACACATTTCTTCTCATCTTTTACAGGCTTGTGCTACTTGTTGAATAACTTATACATGCTTGTAGGCAGAGGCTCTAACTAGAGGAAGGTGATTCCACTACATTCTCTCTCAAGGCACTCACAGATACACACAAAAGAAACCACTCTCTCGCTTATGACTTCCATCTCCAGCTGACACACCCAGCGGGTGAGGGACTCACCCTGTGAGGACGACCACGAAGTCCATTACATTCCAGCCGTTGCGGAGGTAGGAGCATTTGTGAAATGCGAAGCCCAGGGCGATGATCTTAATGGCAGCCTCGAAACAGAATATTCCAATAAAGTAGGGCTCTGTGTCGTCCTACAGAAAGACAGAGAGAATCAGAGAGAGGATGAGAGTGACAGAGGAAGATCTTTTTGTTAGAGGTAAGAGAGTGGTTAATGAAGCGTTAAGTGAAAGAGAGGGGGGTCAGTAAAGGGAGAGAAAGAAAGATGGCTCCTTTCACTTCTTGCACTAGTATGAACAGAAGTGCAGGAAGTGGAGCCCTCTTCTCTGGATGAAAAGAGAGTAAATACTGTGAAAACAAATATTCACACACACAGCATTATCTTAAGGGCATTAGTAAATCAATGAAGTCTAGTGCCTGCTCATTTAATGCATTCAGAAAATTAACTTGAATTGATAGTAAACCATTACATGTGGAAAATAAAATATTCCACAATGAAAAAGGGGTAACTCTACTGAACACATATCTTAGGTAGGAGCTTATGTTTCATTTGTGCCCTGTTTTCACAGCAGAGACATTGATGTAAGAGAGGCTCTCTGGCTGACTATGGGGTACCCAAGCCAACCAGAAAAACATTTGGGCCAACTAGTGGAATACCTGGGTCAAAGAAATTGACACTTGACCAAGCAGAGCTGTAGAAGGGCATTTTGGGCAAAAAAATAGGGCATTTGGGTCAACTACAAAGGTACTTGCATCTCTCCTGTACTACATAAGGGCAATATGACTTGGAGCATGGGCATGGGCAAGGCCTCCTGGGCACTAGGTTGAAATTTGGTCCAACCAAGCGGGAACTTGGGTTGTTAAACAGCTGCTCTGGTGTGACATTTGTGAAAAAATATAGCACGAAAGTGGGAGACCCTTAGAGGTCACTAGAGCCAATCAAAAGGGCACTTGGGCCAAACACAGGTGTTTTTCCAGAGAGGGGATCTGGGCCAACCAGAGGAGCACTTGGACCAATCAGAGAGATGCTTGTTCAAGTGCCCCTTTGGTGTGTTATTGTGACAAAAACCAAGGCACTTGGAGCAACCTCTTAGGGCAAACAAATAGGGGCAAAAATGATGGCAGTTGGGACCACCTGAAGGGCATATAGACAGGACAAAGGGGTACTTGGATCAACATCCTGCTCAAGTGCTGCTCTAGTGTGACATTAGAGCAAATCAAAAGCACAACATCATCCCAACAGGACAGCAACATTCTTGTTTGAAAGGGCACTTTGGCACAGAGGATATGCACAATACACATGACTGGACGTGATTGATTTGAACACCCTGCACTATTAAAAAGTGTCAAACAATCAACAGTGTGCCACAGTTTGATCATTTGCACTATGTGGCTAGGTTAACCCTGGGCCTAGCTTTGACTAAGCCAGCTGGATCAGACGCTTATGACATGACACTTTTTTCGTTTGCCTCCATTAATATCTGCAAGAGCCTGGGGCAATGTGCAGGGCATGAGCAGAGGATATCTCACGCCTACGTTAACCTCTCCCCCCCTCGATTTTTCTCTCTCGCTCCCAGCATACTACAACCTGACAGTCAGCGTCCCCAACCCCCAGCTTCACCCAGCCTCAAACATAAATAATCACGTAAAAGCAGTGTGACAGGCCTGAGATATATAAGAAATGTGACCTTTTCTATAGCCCAGGCTGACTGCAGCGAACATCCAGTGATAATAGATATGTTGCACAAGAGTTACTGTATCAAGCGTGAAGGCTGTGGTGGCAAAATAATGTTAGTTGTTGTTGTTGTTGTTGTTGTTGTTGAGAAGCAGATAAGCTGTTCCTGGCCAATAAGAGAAGTCGTAGGATGGAGCATGCAACATTTCAACAACAGTGACAGGCATTCAATGTGACATACAGTATATTAATTTTGGTGTGCGGTAAAAAATACAGAAGATTCACAGACTAAACAACTGAATGTCTTCTATAATGACAGGGCTGGAGGGCTGCTTGGATTAATGTCTGTACTAGTAGCGTGTTAACATCTATTATACATACATTTAAAATACTCCTGAATTATAAATACACTCGCAGAAGCCGGCTGGGGAAATCCCCAAGGATCATGCGCTAAAGACTTACAATGGATCTAAAATACTCTTACTGAATAGCTTCTATCATCGCCTCCACTTACAGCACGCCTCCTACTCTGTTGACAGAGCTTCATAAATAATAGCTGATCCCTTGTTCTAATTAAAAGGCTTCTTGTTGTGTTACATCCTCGAGGTGGAGGAGGCAGGGAGAGGATGCTTGTTTTCTCCTTTGTGTAACCACTCTAATCACTTTCTCAGGTGCTGAATGCTACCTTTCTGTTTTCGTAGATGCAACATCTTCACTGCTGAATTTGCATCTGAGATAATTTGAAGCAGGAGCAGGTGGTTGAATATGAAAGGAATTCATTGACTTTTTCACATCACGCTGTTGCTCTTTGTAATATTTTCTGGCTCTCTATTTTTGGACAAACTCCCCTGAGCTACAACACCCTCAAGAACACGAACAGCAAAGTGCTGAACCATGAAGCTACGTGCTACTCAGTTTTGTTTTGTGCTTCTCCCTGGTACACGGGGCGGGATATGCCACTTGACCTCCCCGTGCGGCAGTCTCTCTGGCTTCTCTCTGAGACTGGTTAGCTGTGCAACGTGACTGTCACAGTTCAAATGTTGATTTAAACTGAGTGCATATGTGAGCAGCTGTGGGAACAGGGAGCAAAGGGATCAAAGCTAGCTCACCGAGAGGCTCTGCTGACTTACAAGATAAGAGCTGAAGGGGAAGAAAAGGGGACAAACACACAGGGTGTCCCACAGCCTGATGAGTGAAAGTCGCTGCTGCAATTAAGCTGTTGCAGGGCAATACCATGTAACTCTGGGCATCTGGTGCTACTGACAAGGGTTGAGAAAGTAAAGGTGGGTGGTACCTTTGACTAGTCTCCATATTTGTTGAAAGGTTGTTTGTGTAAAGGAAGAAACCTCAAAGACAGACACGATGAAGCACTTACCAGGCGTTCTGACATGGGGGTCTTGTCGCTGGCAGGTAGATGCTGCTCCAGGGCCAAGACGATGCAGTTGGCAATAATTGTAGCCAGGATCATGTACTCAAATGGAGTGTGAGGGTTAAGGAATATTTGACAGTGAAGTTGCATTCATTTCATTTCACAGCAAAATAATAAATCATATGTTCTTATGTTTAAAGAGAAAGTTTTACCAGCAGTACAACAAGTAATCAATCAAGCATGGTAAACCAATTTAGTCTAATAAAAAAATAATTAGCAGACAACATTAAATTGTATAGAAAAGCTAAATCTCCTGTATTACCCTGTATGAAAAATGCCATTAAAGTTACATTTGGACATGTTCTTTCCACTAAAACATAAACCTTCCATCATGCTCTGGTTGAGGGCTTTCTAGAAAGAAAGCATCCTATACATGCGCTTGTGATGCTTCCAGATGGTTGACCATTTCCAACCATTTTCAATGGTTGGCTCATTCTGCAATCCATTTTCAGTGGGTCAGTGCCCGCAGGTCAGGGCCTATTGAGTGCCCATGAATCGCAAGGGAATAGGAAGCTTATGACCATTAAAGCCGAGATGTAGAATAATTACCCATAAGACACTATCCCTATTATGCAACCAGAATGATGTTTTCTTTTCCTCACAGTGAATTGTAAAAGGAAATCAGTTCAGTGGCTACTTTTACTGTTTTATCTGTGAGTTTCAGTTTCCTGTGGGTTTTCCCTTTTTTTTTTTTTTTTTTTTTTGGTCCTGTGGAGTGTGAAGATCAAGTGGTATTAGCTCACAGAGGGAATAGATACATTGATAACCATTATTATTCCACTACAGTTAGTGTTGTTCTCACTGTGATCCTCAGAGCAGATCCAGCTGTCTGCTTGTGTTTGTCACACAAGCTCTGGCTTTCCAGCCCCAGGCTCTTCACTGCAAAAAGACATTCTTTCATCTGGTTTTTCTCATTAAAATGATTAAGAATGCTTACAACTTATTCTATTCTTTGACTTGTTTTTAAATCCAAATCACCTGCTTCAAGACTTCAATTGCATGAATAGCTTTCAAGCCTTTGCCATTTCATTGCCAAACATACTGTTGCAACTGCCCTAATTTGAATTTTGAGAACATCTGTATGAGCAGAGGAATTGCCTATTTTAATCTACAATTGAGTCTCAAATTTGATTTGTTTTTTCTCAACAAAAAATTCACAGGACTGACTAACTTGTTTTCAGAACAAATCACAGGTGTCAAGACTTTCCTTTTAAATGTCACTGTTCTCGTGGGCAGCTATTGTGGAAATAATCTGACACTTTTTTCCATCTTGACATAAAAACGCCTCAGAGACACACTGAATAATGCCGCCCCAGCAGAACCTCTCTCTCATTTTAACAGAGAAAATATGAAGATCTGGAGGGTGACCGTGACTCGACTCGTTGGAGTGGGCTTTTTTTTTGCAGCGTTGAAAGAGTGGCGTGGAGCGCTGAGCGTGGGCGACTTCAGCACCATGGAGAGGGCTCCTAACTAAGACAACGAGGCGGTGCTGCAACCCTGAACCTGAGCTCTCCTTCAACCAAAATAAACTGCGCTTTATCCTTAAGAACGACACGGCTGGAGAGCGCGGGGCGAGGAGCGCAGCCGGTGGAAGCAGCCACAGCGCCGACTGAGCGCTGCCCTTTTTACGCACGCAGCCTTTTTATTGACTTATTGACGTCGATCAGTAACGATATTTGATCATTATTAACTAACCCTTAGATTGTGTGCGTGCCGGGTACACAGTTTACAGCTGACATTTTGACAAAAGAACTTATCAGTCGTCGTGGAGGCTCTATATTGAGCTGGGGACAGAAAAGGCAACACAATAGGCGGATGTGAAGTCTTTTCACAGCCAGCAACCTATTGAGAAACGTCTTTGTGTCATGTTGAACAGAGATAAGAAGCGGAGCGACAGGTGCAGCCAGCGTTGCGCGGAGAGGGGGGGGAGACACCGACGGACGCTGTGGTCGCTGCTCCACGGGCGTAAAATAACTGCTCGTTCAAAAGCACGGGCGGGTTTTCACAACATGAACCGCATCAGCACCTAAACTTAACAGCTTGACGAACAGGCCTGCGGGCGGTGGTGTGTGTTTTCTGCTTTTCAACCATCTGTGTATGGTTGCCAAGCAAGGACGGACAGGTTACAGGCTACACATGCACCTGCTGTGTGCGCGGTGCTACCGGTTAGGGGAGGATATGGCCACTCTGTTATTCGCTTTGCATACTTCCTGATGAGATTGTCCTCGCGGAAGATGAAGAGGGAGCGGTTGACGGTCAGGCAGTTTTGTTTGACAGGGTTCGGGTTGTAAATGGCCATTGTCCGGGCTCTCTGGGCCATCGACTGCTTGTACACCCTCTGGCCACCCGGAGCGCCACCACCCCGGGCTCCCCCTCTCCCGGCGCCCGGTCCACCTCTCCCTCCGCCGCCTGCGCTTCCTCCATAGCGGGTGGGTAGATCTTCTGCGAAGCGAGCCATTCTGGAAACGCACAGATCCAAAAGGGAAAATCCAAACTGGTGTCAGTGGAAATGGAGGGGAGACGCATCACAACAAACACACTTCATCCAAACCACAGCTTAGCGTCAGAGTGTAGGCTACAGAAGGCGCTGCTTTTGGGGAAATGAAAAAAGAAGGTGGCCTCATTGAAAACCATGTTCTCTTGATCCTTTCAATTCATTCATCTTCAGTGGAATTTAAAACCTAAAAGTTTAAAGCAATAACGCACTTCAGCTGTAAAAAAAAAAAAAAAATATTCACTTCGCGGAGGCTGTTGCTTCCATAGCAGCCGGGCTCTGAGTGGGGGGAAGAAAAAAAATCACGCTGAAATAAAAGCAGATCACCCAGTCTCTGTCCAAAATCCTGACAGCATCGTGTCAGCATCCACACACCAGTTGAAACGTTCAGGGTGTCTGTCAAAATAATTAGGAGCGCCAGAAAACACTGAAATTCCTCTCTTTATCCCCCCAGCTGAGAGCAATAATAAGACAAGCCAATCCAACACGAGCAGTTGTCCTGTGATTTCTGTTTGATCGCTCTCTGTATGGGGGCTGAAGGCTATAAAGCAAGTCCTCAGTGGAATAAGGAAGAGCGCATGTGACCAGGATGGGCCTATCGGTGACTGGAGCGTGCAGACGCGCTCACCGTCTGTTGGCTGGTTTTATAAGGAGACTATAAAACTAATGAAGTTCACAAAATCCCTGCGGGTCAAAGCATGAGCGTTAATCAATCATTATTTTAGCATCAATAAGGCAAAAAACCCCAAAAACGTGTACAGTGCGTCTTCACTGCAAAACGTGTCCATTATTCATACTGGGTTAAAGATCAGCCTTTTCTCACTCAGTGTCAGTAAAATGAAACTTTATTCAAGGAAAAAAAGTTTGCATACCTACCTTGTTGGCAGAATCAGACAGTTGCCTTTGGAAAAACAATGCATGAGGAAGGCGAAAAGTAAAAATGTGTGTAAATCAGAAGTCTTCCAATTTCATATATTTTTAACCCTCATGTTTGGTTGAAATTGACTTTACCTCCTCCTTGTTCTGGGTCCCAGAGAATCTACTGCTGTATGCCTATGTGTAAAAATATATTAACAGATACAAAATCAACCATTTTTTTCTTGTTTTCTCCTTATTAAAACCCAATATGAAGAAAACTACTGAAGTAGCAACCCTTCACTTGAACTACAGTAAACTTACACATTTGATGAAGGTGACAAAATATGGAAATTGCCATTAAACATCACTATTAGACCTGTAAGGAAATATTTTGTGTGTTATACAGGTTATGTATGAATAATTACATATTTATTTTGTTTGCCAAAAGTCATTCAAAGACAAAGAAATGTACATAGTTGAGTGCATGGTGACGTTACTGATGTTGGTGGTCACTTATACCTCAGACAGGTTACACAACTGTTACAAGACAGGAATACAAATAGACATATTTTACAGATTTTAGAGGGGTAGTGCTGGGTCCATCCACTGTATTAACCATGTTTTACAGCTGAGACATGAAACATGTCATCAGTTTAAAATCATGTTTATAAGCTCTTGTCAAGGTGAAACAACCATTTTCTAGTATGTTTTTTAAGTGTGGAAAGATGGCCCGGGCTCTCCAGGACCCCAAACAGTACACGTAATTAGAGCTGCACAATAATTAGCACAAATCAGAGTTCTTGTTTGTTTATCTCCTCTCTAAGTTTATGACACCAGTCAAACACCATGGTTTATACAAATATGCAGATGTTCTGACCTTTGCTTGCTGCTCTCCATGCACTGGAGCTGACTGTCTGCTATAAACAGGCCATTAAGTAAATTTAAGCATTTGGGAAGATAGATAACATGTTTTTCTGTAAATGTTGCTTGTGTTTAAAGAAACATACGCAATGAATGTACCTCGTTAACTGACTTCACAGCTCTGAATAAGCCAGCGAATGTATTATTTAGTCCACAACTCTCCCATTGAAAGTGTTCTGTCACATAATATCACTGCATTTTGACTGCAAACACTGTCACTGTGGCTATTTGGAAACAGAGGATGAGGGGGAACGCTCAGCGTATCACAGAGGAACCTTCATCTCCTCTGTTGTCCAAGTGTCTAGAGGCTAAAGTCTGGCAACAAAGAATAAATATGTCATTTATTCCAATGGCAATTGGCCTGCTCAGTTTTTTTGTGCTGTTTGTTTTAATGAACTATTCTATTGCTGTATATGTCAGTAGTTAGTTGTTTATCATAGGAAGGAAATAAACAAGTCATGTTTATGGCAGCTACAAGGATTCACAGGCCACTATAAATTTGGGTAATAGCCTATTTAGGCCAACGTTAATTACCACTGGGAACGTTTTGTGTGTGGCGTTTACTGGAGATGATGGTTATGCTTTTCAAATTAGATTTAGAAAATGAATTCAAATACAACATCAAAACTTTTTACCGTCACTTAGATCTAAAGCTTGTATTTCACTCAGCAGTTTCCATTTCCATCCGTCTTTTTGGCTGTTTTTATAGCTGCAATATAAAAATAGACTGAAACCATTGTCCTTACTGCAGGTCATAATTTGAGCTTCATCTAGCTGTGAGTCACCATCTGTTAATATTCAGAGATTCACAAAATGCTGTACTGAGCCGTTTTATAGACAAACAATTAGCAGATAATAGGGTACTTTTCTACTTTTCTGTTTGTTTTTTTGCCATTTGATCAACATTAACTAAATGTCCAAAAGTATGAGGACACATACGCACCATTAGAAAACAAAGGTATGTGTCCACATACTTTTGGCCAGACTGTGGGAAGGCGTTTTCAGAGTAAAGATGTTTCTATTTGTGGTAAAACCACTTGATGCCATTTCTTCATGAACGTGTGTGAGGTGTGTGTGAGGTGTGTGTGAGGAATGCACACACCAACCTTTACTTTAATGCATTTGTTGTTTGGCCCATGTTCAATCGAACACCAGACTAGAGTAGTTGTTAACTTACTCACATCCAGAGGCCAGTTACAAATTGATCCAGTCTTGTGTTATTGTGCCCATTAATAATTCAGCATCTAAAAACCAAATGTGGGTCTCATCATCTGCAGCCACATCTTTCACACATTGCTCTAGATGCGTCTGAGGAGCCATCTAGTGGATTATATCATGTACTGCAGAGAGAATGTGAGCGTCAAATATTACTAAAGAAATTAATGTGAAATAAAATCCCCAGTGAAACATGTCCAGAGGATTGGGAGTGGGGGATGGGATTCTTCTGTAAACAATAGAAAGAAATTTAGCAAAAGACCAATATTCTAATGTAAGAGGCTTAGTTACTAATTGGACAAAGAGGGGTGACTGCCCCCATCACCCACCCTGTGAGTCCACCAGTGCCATGTAGTATTCCAGCACAGAGAGAGGGGGGGTAATGGAGGCCTGCCCTGGTAGTTCATTAATGCTACCTATTTCAGTTTAATACTTTTAATCTTAAAATGTTCTTTCTGTACGTTTCACAGTTTTACTTTGTTTACTTTGTTGTTGTTGTTGTTGTTGTGTGTCTCACCTGCGCGGCCACGGCGTGTTGTTCAGGGTCTCGTGCTTCTTGACGAAGTGACGCACGCCGTCTCTCCTTCCTGTGCTATGTCCGTCCAGGTGTAAAACTGCGTCATACTTCTGCGCGGTGTCGGTGCCGGTGTCAACGGCCCCCCACGACGGCTCCTCCGGGTCTCCAGCCCCGGTGTCTGAACCCTCCACAGGGCCCGGCTCGTCCTCCGGACTGGGACGGCGACTCTTGTCAGGTGACGGAGCCCAGGTATCCTCGTACTCGGCCCCCAGGGTGAGCATCCTCCAGGAGCCCAGTGTGGCTGAGCGGACCGCTGGTGGGTGAAAGAAATGAAAGCTGCAGTAGGTAAGTTTTATGAAAATAACATTGCATTATATTTGCTGAAACTTCCACTATATCCTGACAGCATCATGTGAAACAAGTGATCTGTGAAATAATCTGGGTCCTCTGGCTCCTTCTCCTAATGGCATTTGCAAGAATCCACCCTGGATGAAAGACAAACAATCAGAGCTGAGAAAGATAGTTTATTTACAAGTTGTCCCATACCGACTGGAAATGAGACTCAACAATCAACTATCTCCCAGCCACCAACACAAAGTGTCTTTTCTATCTGTCTTGGCTCTGATTGGTTGTTTTTGTTCGGGCCTGGTGGATTCTTGCAGACTCTATTAGAAACTCTAGGTGGAGCCAGAGGGACCTGAATGTTTTCACAGATGATCTGTCTCACGTACTGCTGTCAGAACACAGTGAACGTTTCAGCAAATATGTGAAATTATTTTCATAAAAGTTCCCCACTGCCGCTTTAATCCAGTGTGCCATTTGATCTACAGATTCCCAATTTTACATTTGTACGATAAAAAAAACACATTAAGAAAGTTAAATAGTTATTGTATATCTACACTTGAAAGAAAGGACACTAAAAAGCTAGTAGTTTGGTGGTTTGGAGCACTTTGGAGTCAGGTCCACAACAGTAACTGGGACTGACAGTTCTGCCTGGACAAAAAGCACAAACATGCTCATAGTAATTGTCCCGTAGCATAATTCAACTTTTGTCTGTCCATTTGTATGCTTGGTAGGTTAGAAACACCTACGTCTAAATAAATATGTCAAAATATATCTGTTAGCGTTAATATGTTAATGTAGCTGTTAGCGTCTGAAGACAAACCGCGTCCTGCTGCTAGCAACAAATTAAAGCAATGTATTTATTAATAGTAGTCTTTTGTTGATATGTATTGTATGGCTAAGCTAACTGCTAAAAATCAGTCAGTTGATGTCTTAGTCGATGAAGAGCTGGTCCTAGCCTCCTCTGGGTCCTCCTGTCTCCTTACTCGTATTTCAGGTTTGGATCAATGTCAGTTAGTCCTCGTGTTTCAGTCTTTCTCCCCAAAAAATGTCAAGTCATTATTTGAAAGTACTTCAAATAAAGCAGAAGTCTGACCTATGTGCGGGACTATGCTTTCGAGGATTCCATCTTCTTCCTTTTAGTCCTTTTTCACAGACATTTTGACATCTCGCGGTAAGATAATCACAGGTGTAATCAATAGAATGATTGATGGCTGAATTCCATTTAGCTGCTTCAGTTTCAGGGAACTGGCATTATGCATGTTGGCTCTGTCACACTGTCATGCGACAGAGCCATCATTAAGGTTATTACTGTAACACCTGTGCTTTCATTACAATGACAAGTCAAAATGTCTGCTGTGAAAAAGCATTTGCTCTCTCATTGCTACGCAGAGTAAACTGCAAATGAAGAGCAGTGCAGTGACTGGCTGTGTCCCAAATGGGGCCAGCCCATCCAGGTAACACAAGGCAAACACATCTTTTCTTGTACACAACAAAGAAGAAGAAGAAGATAGGGCAGTATTATCTTAAACGACTGACTTTTTCAATGCTGCCATAATCTCTCTAGATAATCACAATTCATTTTTACTGCCAGGTTCCCATAATAAATTCTGCAGGCCTGTCAAATGATAGGCTATGCTCAGCCTTGCTGACGTGTGTTTGATCAGTGATGTGAAAAGTTATTGAACTTTGACCTGAATAAAATGCTTATCCAAATGATTTCAACCTGTATTAGCGAGTAGGGCTGCAAAATTAATCGCAATATTATTAAAATCATAATGTGGCCAAGTGGAATATCCAAATCGCAATAAGCCGCAATTTTTTGATGAAGGTACAATGTCTGACCAAACAGCTTTATAATGAGGTACTGTAGTGCTGCAGAGACGCCCTGTCTGACAAGTCTTTTTCTTCAGATGTAAGACAACATGTTTGTTTGGTACAGATCCCCCAAAAATGTCACATGAGCACAAATAGTCATTTTTTAAATTGAAAATTTTGATTGCAAAAATGATAATTCCCACTAATTGTGAATCATATTGCAATATCTGTCAAATTAATCGCAAAATATGCTTCTTTTTCCTTCATATCATGCAGCCCTGTTACCCAGTAATTCAAAAAAAGTAAAGAATACAGCCTGAAAAGAATAAAATAAAAATAAAACATCATTTTGTATTGCGGAAATATATTTGTTTTGTTTTTTTATCCTGTTGATCATCTCATGACCCTTGAGACTCATCATTTGATTGAGGGGAGGCCTTGACCCTCAGTTTGGGAACCTCTAACCAGTAAGATACCAGTAAACCAAGCAGCCATTTACTCAGGATTCCCTAATAGAAAATAAATCAATACACAAATGTAAACAAAGGTGGCAAGAACCAGAATGAACGCACCATAAACCACAGTAGATCGTCTCTCTGCCCATCTGGAGTTGAGATGAGTTCTCTTCATAACTGCTCTCCAGGTTTAAATCCAACTCAACAGTGGCATGAAGCAACAGTGTGGCCCTCACACAGTTCATGCACGTCTGCCTGCGGGAGGCTACTCTGCAAGGCACCAAGGCAGGGGCACCAAAGACAAAAAAAGTTTGTCCAGCGTGGAATGCGGAAAGGCTGCTTCCTGTCCTGCCAGTTAAGAACCCTGTTATCAGACCAACCATCTTCGATGCTCAAGGAGAAATTTCACTGATTAAATTATCGACTCTGTTTTCGCTGTCCGCCCTGGTAACCAGGAAGGGAGCAATCATCGGCCAGTTTAGACCTAAAAGGCCTGCAGATGCACAGTCAACCTCTTCCTGCTGGTTTCAGGGGACATTTTGAATCAAAATCCAGTAGTTGTCTACAACAGCTGACTGGATTTGTGTTTTTACAACTTTTTTTTGAGTTGGGAAGGAACCAAGCAAACATACTCGGGTACTTGTGGTGTGAAAGTTTTATACTTCCAACAGCTGTGCTTACTAATTAGTTTGCAGATTAAGATTTTAGGTCTGGAATATATTAGTGCTGTGGGGGGGGGGCTTTGTTTAACATGACAAAACATTTTAGGCTGAGCAGCACGGTTCTAGGTATTACTTTGGTCTGGAGTGAAATATTGAACCACTGGATGGATGGAAAGTAACAGTTTGGTTATGAACATATGAGGAATACTGGGAGGGAAAGGGTCGAGGGATGGCAGGGATGAAAGGATGAAGGGATGATGGGGTAGGGGTCGAGGAAGGACGGGTGAGGGTTGATAGAAAGGGAGAAAAGCTGGTAGGATAGGTGGATGGAGGGAGGAGTTCGGCGAGATGATCAGGAGGAACAGAGTGGGTGTTGAGACGCTGAGTGGGGGAACCGTCTCTTATCTCTTCGTGAGCCCCAGTGGTTCCTGTATTTGGATAAGAGAGAGAAAACGAAAAGAAAGAAGGGGATTGGGGGGGTGGGGATGTAGAAAATTAGTCAAGGAGGGAGTGAACGGATAAGGTGTGCTTAAATATGTTTTGAGCGGAAATGAGATGAGTTCGGGGCGTGGTCTTTCTTCCTGAACCTAGTTATAAAACTTCATCTAATGTTATCTGAAATCACCACTGTACCATAACAGCCCCACAGAGTTACTGGTGTGGCTAGAGACTAAATCTTATTAAAATTATCAAGAGATTAATAAACTTTATTTCCTTATCTCCAGTTTATTTACAAGCTTGTGGATTTGAATTATTGATACACAAACATGTAGCACGTTAGAGGCTCTGCACACGCACACAGGTATTTTTAGTCAACCTGCTGATTAGACCAGTGGTTCCATCCTGGGGGTCGGGACCCCCACTAGGGGTCGCCAAAGCTTCACGGGGGGGTTGCCAGCCCTTGATTTTAAGGGGTGTAAGAAAACTTTACAATTACACACAGCAGGTCTTGATCTCAGCATTTCATTCATTTCTGTGAACTCAATTAAACTGTTATTTTTTTAAAAGTTTAGATTATCATTCAAGATGTAAACTTTGAAGACTTGAACGCAAGCTATATTCACAGAGCCTTTACTCTCCAACAGCCTCATCCTGCATTAGAAAATACACATTAAAACAACTAAAGAGCTGACAGAATCAGGAAATAATCTGCTCAAAATCTAAATCACTCATTTTACACTAACTTCCTGCAGTTGTTTTGTTCATTGTACAGTTTGTATGAGTTATGTACTGTAATGTATTGAATATAATATGAAATATCTATAAAATGTATCACTGAGTCAGGGGTTGTCAGTTTACTCAATGACTGAAAAGGAGTCCATTAAGGATAAAGGTTCTGCATAGGGTAGAGTTGGAAATGATGTCACCTCAACAACACACCCATCAGACTGATGTAAGTGTAAGCTATCCCGCTTTAACAGGTGCAACTAGAGAGAGACAGACATGTCGATCAGGCACATTTTTACATTCCTCCAGTGTCCTGAAAGGAGGTCTAATGAGGCAGATGAGTGTTGTTAGGTGACGATGGGGGTGTACGACTTTTAACAATTTGTCTTTAATTCTTACATTTATTGTCTGTAAAGAGCGGTGAATAAGGAAGTGTGCTACACCAATGTACTTGTGTAGCTTTGAATTAGAACAGAATCCATGGTTTTTACCAGTAATGGAGTCATTTTAATTAATGCGGAATTATTATTTCTTCCACTACTGTTTAGTAGAATATCTTCTATCAGTCTGAAATGAGCTCTCCAGCAGCTCTCTAAAATCCCAGCACAAATGAGAAGCGTTGAAAGTCTAAACTCATTAAAGCAAACAGAGTGTGGGAAGTGTCAGCAGCCCGGATGCCACAGCTGCTCAAATATTTCAGCGCCGGGCCCTGGGCCCGTCTGTCAAAACTGAGCTGCTGCTCGGGTCGTGCAGGGTCAAACTGACTCCGGGCTTCAGTTTTAAAATCTTTCAGTAATGTGTTTGTGGTTGACAAGATAAGGAGCTAAAAAGCAATCTCTCCCATGACCTGAAGAAAATCTGCAAAATAACAGAGCTGGAGAAAGAGGCAATGTAATATTTCAATTCTGCATGTTTAGGTAACATTGTAGCAAACAGCCGTGCCTCCCATGAGACACTGCAACAAGTGAAGCATATCAGAATAAATGCATTAGTAGTAAATTTATTGAAAAAGATACAACCAATTAGATGGATGGTTCACGGTCCAGAAATATGTAACAGAACGTTATGGAAGTGCATTTTTGTAACCTTTTTTTTTCTTTTATACCTTTCAAGACTTTGCACAACAGTCACTGCTTTACTAACAACATTTAAAAAGACGGGTTGGCTTCTGTCGGCAAAATCATGAAACAAAATTAAAAACATCCCAACTACAGTAACTACGATTAGAAAACTGGAGTTAAAATTAAAACATAAAAAACTTAAAACGTTCTCTTATTTTACAAACTATGTTCACTTCTGTAATAAAAAGGAAAACAAAAGTAAAAACCTTTGTCAGCACCATTTTCTTGTTTGTTTTTTTTAACTCAATTTTAATCAATTCTTCAACAACTGTGGCAAAATATCTGACACTTATCCCCTTAAACATGCTTAATAAAAAGATCATTCAATTTATTCAGACTAGAAACACCTCATTTGAGGAATGGTACAGCATCTTTGCATCAGACAATCTATACTCACTCGAGTAGCAAATAAAAAAAAACTAATTCTTTGTCTTTCACATCATTTCAGTTAATTCATCAATTCACAAACTATGGTGGCAAATGTTGGACATGTCTCTTCAAACACGGCAACATAGATGAAGTGACACAAAGAAGTGGCAACATAATTCAATATTTATCAGCTAATTTTGCTGGAATGGTTGATGATAAATGACCGCAAAGGTCAAACAAGTTAGACCCAGCTGTATGCTGAGGCTGTCTTTGCAAAGGACAACAATGCCCCTAATCCCCAACCCCAAAATTCCTTGATCATGACTCTTTAAGAAAAGCCATTTGACATTTTCAACCAATCTTAAAAAAGACAAAGAAGACAAAATGCACAGTTCTCCCTCCCAGTAAAGTTATGTATGAAATGTAAAGACTGTCCCTGTGACGTTTGCTGTGCGTGATGTAACTTCCTCCTGCTGTTCATGTTACACAAGGTGGAATAAAGGAGCAGTGAGTTCTTCCAGGATTTGATTGTGCATCTGGTTCTGTGTGACAATGTTTTACGGGTTTTCACGAAGGTCGATAGTGCGTGGTTTTAATCAGAAGTGGAGATATAGTACAAGTTCACTGATAAAAGTTAAAAGTTCAAGGAGGATGGAGAGGGGCGTCCCTGTGTGTCTGTCAGTTGTGTGTACATGTAGCGAAGCTTTAGTGTGAGGAGGTTTTTTTTTTTACGAAGGACTGGAAGGACTGTTTGAAGAGCTGGTGTCAGGTGACGCGCTGGGCTGCTGCTGGTCCTCCGGCGTGCTGTCCGCCTGCAGCGACGCCATGGCTGCCGACGAGTACTTGCACTTGGAAGAGCCGCATTCGCAGCTGAACAGCTTGCTTTTGACTTCCCAGAAGTGATCGCCGTAGTTAAATCTGAGAGAGGATGATAAAGCAAATGATTATAGAAAAGTACTGTTATTCAATGGAAACCTGACTTAATCTACACCCAGAGTGGAAAAAGAATAAACCTTTCTTGACTTAAAGTTTAGTAGTTATACAGATTCTATAGAACATCCCTTAAAAGTTCCAGTGTGTAACATTTAGGAGGCGCTATTGGCAGAATGGAATGTAATACTGTCATTCGTGTATAATCATCTGAATCTAAGAGTCGTTTTTATCTGCAGTCCTCTTCTAAGGAGTTTGCCAAACTTCTACAGTAGCCCAGAAGGGACAAATGCTGGCCCTAGATAGGGCCCTTCACGTTTTGTTTCCCTTTGGTGCTCAGTATGCTGAGCGGTATTCAGTCATTTGCAATCTGCAACCTTACCACTAGATGCCACTAAATCCGACACATTTCCACATTAAAATATCTATAAACACTAAACCTATGTTGTACTTACACTATCTCAAATGTTTCCAACAATGTTCAAACCCAGATATCTTTCATTTTGTTCAGGTAACCGTGCGTTTTACTGGTCACCTGTCAATGGCGTCATATCCTCTTTAGCCACAAGTCTGCATTGTAGTTGTCTGTCAGAAGCTGTCATACATTTACTTTTTATCCGGCTTTAGGCAACATTTTTGGATCTTGGTCGATTTTAACTTTATATTTTAACCGAATGAAGAATTTTAGTCATTGGACGTTTGGAAGTTGCTAGAGAAACAAGCGGAGTTAACATTAGCAGCTTAGCTGGCTGGCCCTCTGGGACAGTTTTAAAACACTGGGTCTGTTTGTTTTTTGAGAGGAGGAGACCTCTGTGGATAATTCAGAAACCTGAACGATGAACACTCAAGGAATCATAACCGCAATGACGGTAACTGTGGTAAAGACAACAACTCCCATCACCCCACGCTATTTCACAACGTCATCAAACTTAATCTTTTGTTATTGTTTTGATGTGAGAGACCCCCCCAGCGGCAGAAATTACATTGT